ACTACCTTGCCTTAGCTCTTGTAGTCCCTTACTATGTAACCTAGTTTGCTACAGGCGTAGCAGTTAAAGTCCTTCTTTTTCTACTTCTTGTCGTGAAACTTAGGTCGTCTAGGTCCCTTGTTAAGATTGTTAAGGTGCATAGGTTCGTAGCTATTAGTAGCGTACGACCCTAGGATCCTAGGTATATAGCTTTGTTAACGTCCTTAGTTAGGGTACGAACGGCGAGGTTTAGCATAAACCCGGGCGTTCCCGTTCGTGTTCTCTAGTGCTCGCGTTCTCTGTGCAAATAGTCTTTCTTCTAGCTTTAGTCCGTAGAGTTCGTTGTTAATACAGATAGCTTTGTTCTTAAGTTCTTAAAGCGTGTTAATGCTAGTCCTACTTCTTATAAGTTCCGCTCGTACCTAGGGTTTAAGACCTTGTTTGTACATCCGCATTAAAGCGTTGTTGTCCTAGTTAATAACTACCTAGTACTGTTAGAACAGGGTAGTGTAGTCGGCAGCAGACTGCGTTTGGCGCAGTTATTAAATCTTCTGCTCGGCGATCACTTTCTCTTAGTAGAGTGAGAAGACTTCGCGCATTCTAATCTTAAAAGCGTCCTAGTCTTCGACTAGATGCTTGTTGTCGTTATTCTTAATGGCGTTGTCTATGTATTAACAGATAATTAGCCTAGACTACTCTCTAGCGTTGCCTCGTAGGAACGTAGTAGCCTAAACAACTATGTTATTGTCGTTAACCTTGTCGCCTTCGAGGTAGAAGTAAGTGTTAACCTAGAGTAGCTAATCTTCGAGCTTATAGCGTTCTCTATTGTAGATGTTAGGTTTGTTACTCTTGCTAGTAACTTTTATAGCGTAGGAAGCGGCGGGGGTGTCTATCTTAGTATTACTTATCTTAAGGGTGTTTAAAGTGTAAAGGTCGTCCTAAGATAACCTAAGAGTTGGTTCTCGGGGAGTAAGTAAGTAAGGTAGGACGGGTTAGTGTACTAGCACGATTAGTAGATTAATGTAATAGTACGAGGGTGTAATAGCACGTTTAGTAGAACGATGTAATATTATAAGGGGTTAAGAAAGAAGTATAATTCTTAGATTAAATACTAGAGTCTTGTATAAAGTTAAACACACTAAGCTATAAGGGTTTAGTGTCTAAGCTATATACTTTAATAAGTGTTGCGCTCGTGGACGAGCGTGTAGGTAATCGTAGACGAGCAGTAATGTGTCTTGCTAGTTATTAGTCTAACTGCTTATGCTCGTAGACGAGCGCTTATTATAGAACTAGCGTCGTCCTGCTCGTAGATAAGCGGTTACGTAACTGCGGCGCAGTTCCCGTGCCGCGCTCCTACGACTGTGCCGCACAATCCTTCAAAGTAATTACGCTGACCCCCGGAGTGCCCCTTAGGTCAGATCGTAACACTAGTGTAATATAAGACGTTGCGTAAGAAACAAAGCAGAATGCAGAAGTAGTAAGAAGATATAGCTAGGGCCGTGCGCGGCGCTTAGGCCTTAGCTAGCTAATTAACAGATTTTAGGTGATCTGGCGAGCTACCCGAAATCTGCGCGTTCAGGTGTCAGGGGAACCACGGTGGTTACCGTGACAGAGTCTTAGCACAAGTGTTTCGCGAAGCCTGCTAATCCGCGAAGCATGCACCTACGTTATTTGGTTCTCCTTAAAGGGCTTTTGCACGTTGTTACGTTAAGGCATCGCGATGAAAGTACAGATTTGGTGGGGTCTTGGCAAAAGTGGTCTACATGCTTGGGTGGTCTACATGCTTGTGAAGTACGTTAGCGCTAAGCTACTTTAAGCAAATGTTAGGCCTCACACCCGGCCTCATATTGGTTAGGCCTTACAGCCGGCCTCATATTAGTTAGGCCTATTTTCGAACACAGCCTCTACTAGATTGCTGTATAATGCGATGCTTTTGTCTACGTCTATCTCTACCCGGCAGAGCATGATAGCAATTAGCCTTGCACTTATCCATCTACGCGCCTTTGCTCATGCCGCCGACATGATCGAATACCTCGCGCGCCTTCGCGTTGGGAAGACCAGCAGCATTGCGGCGTTGGCCGTTCAGTCGAGTCATCAGGCCTTTCAGGATGTACCGCGTCGACAAGTCGCGCACGCCGCCGCCGCCGCCGAGCGACAGCGGGCAGAGGCCGGTGGTGTCGTGCGGGCTGGGCTAGCTGCCGTGCTGGACTGCGAGGCGCTGCGCGATGATGTGGTTTTGCAGTGGGGCGTGTAGTCGGGTTGCAGAGTGTCCGGGGACGGGTCACCGTTGAAGTGGTTTACAGTCGGTGTCCATTGTGGGCGACGGTCGTATCTCTGGGCTGGCGGAAAGGCTGAAGGCTGAGCTGCAGGCTGAGAGCTGAAGGACTGAAGGAGGTGCGTCGTTCAGGACGCTGCAGTACGCGCCGCAGATCGCGCCCCGCCAACGGTGCTGCGAAGCGCCACCAGGGTCCAGCACCAGTCCCTCCGAACCATCACGCACTCGGACGCTTCTGCCTATCTGCGCAGCGAACCACGCATTCCATACATCCTACTGCGCGTCTTCTTCGCGCTTCCTCGCGCTCACAATCGCTGTCCGCTTCCACGCCACTTCCTCGTTCCTCCACGCATTCCGGCATCTTCACATCTCACACCACATCGCGCAGGCTCGTGTAGGGCGGCTGGGGGACGATGTAGTCGCTGGAGATAGGTTGCGCTATCGCAGCGCTTCGATGATAAGATCGTGTCCCACCAGCATTGGCGCGATAGCGAGGGCGATAGCGACCGCGTCCGACGGGCAACAACCGACGGCCAGGCCACCTCCTCACCGCAGCTCATCCTGGCTATCATTCCAACAGATGTGACTTCGGCTCACGTCCAAACCGCAAAGAGGATATGTAACGAAGGACGGCGTCGTATCTCAGCCAGAAGCGGACCGATTTCCGTTCACAACCCCGCATCGGCAGCAGAACCCCGTGCTACTGATAAGCACGTATCGGCGCATGGACCGCTACAGACGTTGATATAAGCTCAGCAAAGCGCTTGGCTCCACAAGCTTCTGCATCTACTACCTTCACGTTGGTGGTTGAACTCGGTGCAAACACCTCAATGCCAAACATGGCCACCGCGACGAGAAGCCTGGACGAACCGAGCGCGACCATGGTGCCGAAGCTTTCGATTGCCGCAGAAGAAGTGCGCGAAGTTGTTGAACAGGAGCATGCGCTCACCTTTCGGGAGGCCCTGTCACTGTATCCCAAGGCAATAGGATGGTCGTTCTACTTCAGCCTGGGTGTAATTATGCTATGTACGACGAAGTGCGCCAACGTCTGAATTGTGACTTACAACCCTGCAGCATTCGATCCTCAGCTTCTCGGCAACTTGTACGCAGTACCTGCTTTCCAAAAAGATTTCGGCTATGCTTTCGGGGACGGGTACATCATCTCCGCTGCATGGCAGACGGGACTCGGGATGGGCAACCCGATCGGCCAAGTCGTCGGCGCGTTGGCCGCGGGTTATCCGTTGGAATGGTACGGGCGCAAGAGGACGTTCAATGCATGCGTCATCGCTGTCGCGGGCCTGGTGTTTATCCAATTCTTCGCGCGCTCGCTTCAAGTTCTTCTTGCTGGAGAGCTTCTTGCTGGGCTGGTGCTGGGCACTTTTGTTGTCATCGCACCTGTCTACGCATCGGAAGTATCACCCTTGGCCATGCGCAGTGTCTCGACCTCTTACGTCAATCTTTGCTTCGTCACCGGCCAGTTGCTTGGAAACGGAGTTGCGGCTGCAACCCAGCATCTTCAGTCCCACTGGGCGTATTCGATTCCGTTCGCCACGCAATGGTTCTGGGTCTTGGTGATCCTCCCGGGAATGTTCTTTGCTCCGGAAAGTCCATGGTGGCTGGTGCGTCAGAATCGGCTCGAAGACGCCGAGAAGTCTCTTCGCCGGCTCACGAGCGCCAAGGTCAACGTCAAGGCTGTGCTCGCACAGATCATGGAAACGGATAGACTGGAGAATGATATGGAAGCGGGTAGTACCTATGCCGACGTCTTCAAGAAGGTCAATTGGCGCCGAACGGAGATTGCGATCGGGGTGTATTCTACCCAGGTTCTATGTGGTGTGTATCTCATTAACTACGGAACGTACTTCTTCACCCTCGCTGGTCTTGAGACCGCGCAAGCGTTCAACATGGGCATTGGTTTCATGGCGATCGGTTGGGTCAGTGTGCTTTTGTCATGGTACTTGATGCAGAAGTTCGGGAGAAGAACGCTGTTCGGCGTTGGCCTCACAATTTTGACGGTCCTCATGTTTCTTGTGGGTATACTTGACCTCGTACCTACGACAGGAGCGACGTGGGCGAAGTCTTCATTGTGAGTGTGCGTTACTCTGACGTTGGATCTCATGCTAACTTTGCAGGCTCTTGGTGTGGAATTCTGTGTACAACTGGAGCGTCGGACCCGTGGCTTTTGCCATCTTCTGCGAAGTCAGCGCGACAAGGGTACGCTCGAAGACTGTCGCCGTTGCAACCGCTGCTCAGGCTCTTGTCGGCATCATCATGACTGTCGCGATTCCGTACTTGATCAACCCAGACGCAGCCGATCTGGGTGGCAAGCTTGGGTTCTTCTTCGGTGGGCTCAGCATCCCGTGTCTGGTGTGGTGTTATTTCCGTGTTCCTGAGATGAAAGGCCGAACTTACGAAGAGTTGGATCTCATGTTTGAACGAAAGGTACCTACGAAAGCATTTGGAAAGTATGTCATAGACTAGGAATGCCTTACGGGAGATATGGAGTGTCGCAATAGCTGCTTCTTTGGCCGGGAGTATGCTCTTGAATGAACACGTGCATGAGGAAGAGAGTGTGGGAGCACAAAGACCTAATTTACTATTGGACACAGAAGAGAACGTTGCTTTGTATGCGTCGATCACATCAACGACCATGTTCATGCTCCACATTCAACCTTTTCAAAACTTCGCCTCCAATTCTCCATCTCCTGATTCCCCGATCAACCTCCCCCTCCCAAAGTACTGTCGCTTAGACGCAAGTAAGATCGGCGGTAGCCTCGTCGAAAGTGCAGCGGTCGGTATGCTCAAACGCAAGCTTTGGTTGTGTTGTTAGTCGAAGTTTGCATGAGCTTCCGTGAATAGCTGGAACTTACGTTAATGAATCCACCGTCACCCTCGGTGAAGAACTGGTTGGGAGCAGCAATGTACATGCACTCGTAGTCGGTGTTGAGAAGGCCAAGCTCGAACTTGACAGAGTTCTGGCCGTCGATGTTGGCGGGGTCAGCGACCGAGAAGCCCTGGTTGTAGCAGGCGGCGGCTTGGAAGCGGGCAGGGTCGGGGTTGTTGGCCATCATCTCTTTGGTGGTTTGCTGGGTGAAGGCTTCGCGAGCTTCATCGAAGTTCTGGACGTCACCAATGAACTTGGCAGTCGCGTCGACGGCCTTGGTGACGACAGCGCTGACAGCTGCGGTACCAGCCGCGACGAGAATGGTTGCGAGAACTGGCTCGCGCTTGCTGAGGCTGTTCTCGCGAGCCTCAGGAGTAGGGACGGCGGCGCCGTTGACGATAGCAGAGCATCCGGCAAGAGCGGCGACGATGGTGGTGAAAGAAGGCATGTTAAGTGTTGGAAAGTCGCAGACTTGAGGTAAAAGAAGTGAAGTGGAGAGTGTTGAGAAGAAGAAGCGAAGGAGTGAAGGCAATGTGAGTTGAATGGATGATGGACATGTAAACGACTGGACCTCGCCTTTTGTACCTTTCCAATCCTTCACCCTGATCTAAGTGCTGTCACCGTTTCCTCGCACGATATCGCGAAGTCGAGCTCACAGTCGGACCGAGGACGAGGGAGTGACCCCTAGTGTACCCTGCACGTCACATTTCAAAACCTCTCCCCAGGTGCATTCTCTTGGCAGAGTAGACATCTTGAGGTTTTCGGGGTTATGCGAACTGAAGTGACGAGATGAAGGGATGAGTCGCGAAGAACGATCTCGTGACTTGTTAGTGCCCGTTTCATGGGTACTGCCGATGTCACTGTGGCTTTCAGCCTCAGTCTAAGCCTCAGAGGGTCACGACCATGCCCGTAGCGAAGTGAAAGTGCCCGCGGCTGTGGTTCTACCCGTCGCGGCGTCCTGTCAAAGGTGCCAATCATGAATCGAAGCTGCAGTATGCGCCTCTTTCTGGACTTCTTGGCATGGTCCAACTGTAGGGCCGACTCGATTTTGTAACACACGTAGGGCCGACTTCCCTGTTACAAATGGTTTCAGCCAGGCAGAAGTCAGGCGCAGCACAACATTTTAGCCAATGATAACTACGGACACTGATAGAACGTTGTAAGAAGGATCACTGCGAGAGAGTCGCAGTCGTCTTGGCGAGCCTTCCAATACTTGCGACTCACGACAGAGCCAGGATTATCGGTAGGGGAACCCGAGAACACCTGATTATTCCACCTTTTAAGAACAAGCCGTTTCTCAAGTTCGGATGTCGGCAAGATGCCGAGCCTTTGTGCAATACACCGAGTTCTGCCAGCTGCGGACTTGGCTAATGCTATCCAGCTGCATTGAACACCGTCGGAACACTACCATCACGGCGCAGCCAGTGCAGCGCCGCCCCGGCGAAATGCACCTCTTGGAAGGATTTCGCTGCGTTCATGCAAGCGCTTTTTGACCATCTTCTTCGAATTTTGGGCAACTTGGTAGTCGCCCCAGGTTTGTCATAATGTCATGCTGTACAGTCGTTCTGTTTTGCACAGCGCTGGTCCCACTTACTTAGGTAGTAGCGATCCTGTGACGAGCGTGTCTTGGGCGTTTTGAGAAACACATGCTGCACCTTACCTGGAAGTCAGCGACATACTCTCGTGTAAAGCTTCCACATGGACCTCAAACTGTCCGATACAGCGCGACGAAATTAAGCTAAGAAGGGTGACTGTCTTCGTTGTCTTAGGGATGTGGTCTGAGGACTGCGAGCGCGCGTGCGACTGGGGGAGTAGCGGCTGCGGTTGCTTGAGGCCTGAGTCTCGAATGGGGAGATGAAGTTGTTATGTCAGCAGCACCTGCGCTGGGCGAGGGATAGACGATATCTTGGGTGCGATCAGGACATTGGACTTGGCCTGGCGGGCTGTCGTCGAGCGTGCGCTCCAGCACCCAGATCTTCAGCGAGTGTCGGGGGAATGTGCTTCTCGTTTAGGGCATCCAAACACCTCTTGATGTGTAGATGCGTCCGCCGTTGCGCAACTGGCGCGATGCGCGGAACGATGCCCGTCGCCCAGACAAAGACGTTGACAGATGCTGAAGCAAGGTCGTGTCTGGTAGGGAAGGCGGTAGTGAGGCCAGTCGCGACGACCTTGGGAGGCTCCGGTTCCGCAACTCAACGCGCGACCACGTGGACACGTGTGCTAGCAGCGAGATAACCAGCTGCTGCCGGATCGTGGCCTGGAACGATAATCTTGCTGCTGCCGCATCCTCTGGTATCGCTGCTCCCCGGGTCGCACGCGAGCTGTGAAGCAGCCCGCAGCGTGAACAAACCCCCATCGCATAGTCACCACGTGCCTCACCCATCCATGGATATCTCGGCAATCCAAGGAAAGTCACGACGAACAATAATGTGCCTTCAGATAAGGGCCATGGAAAGTGCGACCGAAACGAGAAGGTCCCTCCAGACATGGTGAACGAAAGGGAAGGTGCCGTGGTGCGAAGTCGGTGTGTGGGACCCACTTTTCCGCGGGGATCTCCTGCGGGAAAGGCGTGGACGCGGAGTACATTTAGGGCGTGTGAGGGCGTAGGGCGCAAAAGCGCACGTAGATAAGAAGCCCGTTGCCGTTGCACCCGGAGAAGGGGGATAAGTATCTGGCTTCAAGGCATTTAGTAGGATCAGGTAGGTTGTTGTGCTGTCGCCATGTGGTTTGCGCACACCGCGATCTAGTCTTCTATGTAATTGCGCACGTTATCAAGCTCCGCGTCTCTCCTTCCAGCTTCTCCATGCATTGTTTCGCTCTCAGTCTCAAGCCTTTACATCTACCTTCCTACATCCAGTCTGCTGAAGCCAGTCGTCAACTCTGCGCCCCGTTCCTTCTACGATCGACCCCGTTACCAAGGACAACATCAACAACTTTTTTTCGACGCCCAAGACACTGCAACCGCATCGACGCGAATGCCGCCCACGCCCCGAGACTAGATTTCACGCACATGAGAATTCCCCAGGTGGCGATGTGCTGTCAATCGAACGTTGCTTGGGCGACTACCGCGGCGCATGATGGCGGTGTCCCCCAGAAGCAGTCGCCGGTTTCGACTTTTACCTTTCGTTCGAAAGAGAAGGTATTAACAAACGACTCAAGGCAACAGTTTTGCAAAGTCAATGAACTCAAATCTTCAGATACGGCTTATATTGAGCCAGGGTATGATATATACATTCGAATCGTGCATATGCAACGCTAAATAACAAGACTGGAGCGACCATGCAATCATGACGCTCCTTCCAACAAACAGCCACGCTTAGTGACCACCGCTGGAGTTGGAGTTATCCGCGCAAGTCCAAGCCTTGGTTCCGCCATCCTTGTTGTATGAGTCGATAATGCCGGCAATGGAACCATAAGTACCGCCAATGAGGAGGAACGTGCCAGACACAATGACGAAGACGGACCATGCGACCATACCCTTCCACCTCCAGTCACGGTTGGACCGGTGCCAGTTGTCGTAGAGCCACATGCAGCCCATGGGCTGAAAGCTCATGAGCGTGCCGAAGAGTGCGCCGACAAGCGAGACGAGACCGCCGAAGACGGGGATTGCGGAGGCGATGACGTAGGCGGTTAGGGAGACGGCGGCTGTGAAACCGAACCAGGTGATCCAGTGCTTGGTGGTGGGGTGGCTGAGATGCTTGGTTCCGCGCAGGGTGCGGATGAAGAAGTACTTGGCGACGAGCTGTTTGAGGTCAGCATACTGTCTGCAAGGAGTAAACGGAAGAGGAATGAGGAACTTACATGAGTGACCAGAACGACGGAGGCAAGCAGACCCGGAAGCGCAAGACCGTAGCACACCTTCTTCATCAAGACACCGGCGGATCCCAGCGCAGGCGAAGCGACGTACGATCCGCAGTAGTAGTAGACGACGATGCCGATGGCGACGTAAATCGAGGTCATGACGAACTGGCACAGCGACAGAGCCTTGAAGTAGTCCTTCTGGTCCTTCATCTCGGACACGACGTTGAAGTACGCAGGGATACCGCAGAACGCAAAGACAATGCTGGAAAGAGCAGCCGATGCCTCAGCGAAGGTAGGCGATTTGAAGAGCTCAAAGTCAGACTCCCAGGGGCCGAACTGAGGCGCCGCAGAGGGGCGATCCTGAAGACTGACTGAGACGGTGAGGGTGATGATAGCCGACATGATGCCAACAAGACCAACCCACGCAATCCAGGAGAGCTTGCCCAAGGTCTTGATCGAAGCAATAGCGAAGCCCACGAAGGCGGCCACCGCCACGAAGACAGCGGTACAGGTGCCGTGTTCAGACAACGAGTTCAAGCCGATGGAGATACCCAGCATACCGGAGCCAGCAACGCACGTCCACAGTAAAGCGAACGCAAGACCGAGCACCTCGCGGCCTGTGCGCCCAAAGAGCTTCTGTCCTACATCCTCGATACCGTACACCTCGGGGTGACGCATCTTGAATGTACCAACCATGTATCCAGACCACAGGGTGATCAATCCGATGGCGAGCAGCGAGATAATACCCGGAATGAGGCCCAGAGCATCGAATGCAGCGGGGATTGATAGGACGCCGAGACCGATCTGAGTCTTCATCATGATGACGGAGGAACCCCACCAGCTGACCTGCAGGGTGTCAGTATGCGTTGGGTAGGAATGATGGTATGGGAACATACGCTGCGGTAGTTGGGTCCTCCCTCGACGATTTCACCAAAGACGGCATCGGTCTGACCCGTTGGGTTGGTGTCCTCAGGCTTGAGCTGGGCGCCGTATTCGAGGTCGTTGCCCATCTTGTCGTCGCTGATCTTGTCGTTGGAGAAGCCCATGTCGCCCTGATGAGTGTTCCTGGGTATCAAGAGGAGATGGCGCACGAGAATGAGACGTGCCTCCAAGGGCGACCGTCTGCCATTTACATATGCAAGAATCGTCGGCCCGACCGACATCGGCTGGCACAGACCCAGGAACGATGTGGAGGTCGCCGCGCGCGCATTGTTTCCCCAGGTACGTGGGTCGTTTCGCGGTAGTGGACACTGGTGGTTGATGCTTCACGTTGGCGTGAGAGGCGTGGAGCCGCGAAAGACCGAGGCAACCTGGCCTGGAGCCGCACTAAGCCGCGAAAAAATGTGTGCAGGTACAGCGAGGTTTTGCCGACCTAGGCCCAACCCGGTAAAATGACTCCATTTTTTGCATCGTCGAATGTCATCAGTGTCAAGCGCCCGCGCTGTGCATGTTGAGCGCGTTCGAGAGCACTCTGGGGGAGCGCAATCGGTCGTGGCTTCCCAGGTGGCGTGGGCAAGCTTCGCGACAAGGCCGCCCACCACTGCTGCGCGCGACGACAAGCACGCGCGCCAGGACCGGAACAGGGCCGAAGCACTTCGGACCAAGTGAAATAGACGCTTATCTTTTGTGGATTTCTGGGCCTACGTT